AGCTTGCACAATTCCCGCACAAGCCCAGGAAATTTCTTTTGGTGGAGTTTTCATGACTGACTGTTATTAGCTCGGTCCTGCTACGTACGGACAACGTAACATGCATACCATGTGTATTACCTGCACTTATCTTCGAAGCGATGTCTTGGGTCATAATTACCACACACCGACAACCCCACACACAGATCCATAAGTACCTCTTCTGTGGTTTGTACCGAAGTCCCTTTTTTTTTTTTTTGAAGCCTCTGCCGCAGTCCTAAACTGTTACTGAGGAAGTCAGCTCCTAACTTGTTGTTTTGGAAATCTGCTATCGTTTTGGCAGTCTGCTCCGAAGTCTCAACAATGTATCAAAACGCCTTTAAATTCTTAAGAATGGTTGGTCAGGAGTACCTTTTTTTCGGAGCTGAACAGTTAACCTTGAAACTCAGGACACATTTGTACCAGTGACATTGCTTATGAATAGTAGTAAACTACGAACGAATTCGTCGTAACTATTATGCATATATTATTATTAGTAACTTGCCTTATTTGGTGTTGCCAATGTGCATACAGTAGGGAACGTATGTGCCTCTATATGCCTCATTTATTGTGCTCGTACATTCATGACGTTGCTTCGTGTGTACAGTATTATATGACAATGTTCGTTGTTTGACGGGTAAAGCAACGTTACTGCTGGCTTATGTTTCTATGAAATGTATGTCCGTATGTGTGTACACGTGTGTTGGGTCTTCATTATACAGTAGTGTACCTACCACAGCTGTCTCCTTTTACTTTTTTTTACGTAAAGACGTCGTCTTCAATATTTTTTTTATTTATGGGAGAAAGATAAAAAAGCTGAATATGTGGATACTTTTTAAATGGCTTTTGTTATTGGGTTGAATTATTGTTTTGTTCCAGGGTTTGGTTTTGCTTGTTTGTTATTTTGTTTATTTACCTTTTTTTGTTTATTGGAAGGGATACTTTTTGTTTGGGGATTTGTTGTTGTTTTTTTAATGAGAGGGGGGGGGCTGTTTTGTCTCTTACTGAGTTATTCAGAGAAACTATTTTTTTTAATCTACCCATCCATACCATGTCTGCCATATTCCAAACCTAATCCACCAGTGTTCTCCTCATATTCCAATGTGCCACTGTTATTCTATATATTCCAAATACTATTATCATCAACGGAGAAAGAAGTCGAAAGTTTTGCTCAATGTTGTTTTTTTTTCATTTAACAGGACCTCTCTCCATCCCAATAATAAAAAATCTATCAACAAAAGAAAAGGGTCACAAATGATACTTTCAACCGCCATTACACGGTGTCCTTTGGGCCATATCAAATCATCCGACGTTACAAAAAGTTTACGGTTGCCATGGGGATCTATAAGTATGGGTGACCAATTGGACCATTTTGTCTAACTTGTCGCTGTTTGTTGGGATTTCCTTTTTTCGACATTTAAGACTTTAAGTTACTATAAAGGTCACAGTTAGTTTTTGCAGATTGGAAAAATTCTAATACGGAAGAAAATTTGACTCTATAACTATTACAGGTTTGGTTGTACTTTCAAAACGTTAAGTTCCGAAACTTAGATGTCGTTATCGTCTGTCTGTCTGTTTCTTGTAAAGGTGTGTACATGTACTCCCAGTATATTCGTTGAGATCATTGATCATATTGTGTTCTGCTTGGGTGACAACGTCACTATTTGCGCAACGTCTGCTTCTGTGCTTGGTCACACCAGTCACACACACACACCCCCTCTCTTCCCTCCCTCGTCCACTTTGTGACGTCATGGCTTGTTGTGCTCCACTCCACTCATTAACATGGGAGATAACCCATAAATGATAACACCAGAACTACTCAGCCGCCATATTGTCGCAGCACAGCCGTGACGTCATAAACTACTGCAGCTGCTGACTTGAACGTCAAGCGCTTTGACTCTAGGACCTAGTCTCTCTGTTAGACGATGCCTTTGTTTTCCATAATGCACACAATGATATAATCCAGTAATGCACTTATGATTTCAGCCAACTTTGAGAACTGCATTATAGTGTTATCTTTTGGTATTAACATTAGTGTGCTTCTTCAAGTGAAACTCATCCAGCGAGCTGTTAGTGTTATGCTGCAGTCTCGTGATATTAATCAAGACTAGACTAACATTAGAAAGATGTTCCTCGGGAGACAATGTACCATTTGTACCTTTGTCTTTAGTTGTTGCCTTTTATAAAGTCCTCCTAAAAGAAAATGTATTAATTTCATCATTCTATTTTGCACTTCTTTTCTTCTTAAAAATGCTATTTCCTGTTTAAGTAAACGTATTCTCGCAACAAAAAAATGTTTTCAATTGTATTTGCTTTTGTAAAAACTTTAACAATCTATTATAACTAAAAATTAAAGCTATTGTCTGAAGAAATTCAAGAAGTCTGTTGACTCAGCTTTGACAATGATAATGTAACATGTGGAAGTATTACAACTCTCTGCTTTTAGATGACTCAAAACATACGTTATTGTAAATAATGGAACCAAACAAAATTCATAATTGATCATTTTCTTACAGACAGTCTTTTTAAAAAGTTTCAGACGGTAAAAGTTATTTTCCCCCCAATTATAGCTCAATACATAGGTCAAACTTTCATAACGAGCTGCCTACCCCCTTTTTGATTGTGAACTATAATAGTTGTTATATTGAGGAAAAGGACTTACTTTTAGGGATCAATGAATATTCAAAAACTAACTTGGAAACGAAATAATGAAAATGCCAGCATAGCCTACTCGTGGTAATAGCTTCTATTTTATTTATACTTTGCACGTTTTACACGTCCCGTTCATGTTGAAATGCGGTCACTATTTCCCCCCAGCATTGGACTCTGGCGTTTCGGACATCAGCTCAATCCAAGCTGAGGAAAAGTTGTCGATTTTGCAAAGATCCAGCCCCGCTCTCCTGGAGCCTTCTCCTGCCCACAACCTCAAATCCATAAACTTGATAGATTTGGGCGACGTGCGCAACCGGAACAAGACGGCTCAGTTTCTCCTCTCCTCCCCCATCTCCACGGCCTCCGACTCTTCCTACTCCCTGGGTCCTCTGTCTGCCGGGCAGCGGCGCGCCCACTGGAGGTACTTCAACGCCAACAGCCACCCTCAGTCCAACTGCGACAACAACCTGTCCCAGGTAGACACAGGCATCAGGAGTCCGCTGTACCGCCATTCTTCGTACCCGCTGTCGGGCCAGCAGCTCATGACATGCGTGAACATCGACTCCCCCGACGACAACGACGAGAACCTCAGCCCCCCGCCTTCCTCCATCTCGCCCCCGACTTCTTGCCCTAACAACAACCTCAATAATAACAATAACAACACCCACCGAAGCGGCGGTAATGGTGGGAGTGGGGGTGGTGGTGGTGGCGGCGATGGTGGTGGTGGTGGTGGTGGTGGAAATGTTCGCGGCAACTCCTCCTCGAAACGACAACAAAGACATTTCAGCCCAGGTCACATCGTGCACTCAGAGGGTGAAGAGGAGGATGAAGATGAGGACGATGACGTGGAAGATGATGAGCTGGAAGAAGAGGACAACGTGAGGAACCACATGACCTGGCCCACCAGCAAAGTGGACACGGAACTGCCCCCGGCCCAATCGGTTCTCAGTCCAACCAGCATGGACGGAGAGGCCCCCAGCGCAAGAGGCTCCATCTCTGGTCTTTCGTCGACGCCATCTTCCAGCTCCCTCTCAGACCCACACCTCCTGAAGTCCTCCCCATCCTCCGACCTTGTTCCCAAACGCCAAGGCTCGCAAGTCAGCGAAGACCCCACCTCGCAGTCGCAAAGCCTGTACGAGACGGCAGAGTCACTCCCAGATGACAGTGACGGCGGCCTGGACCCTTTCTCCGCCCACAGCGTCATGGACCTCGGCACCGGCTCGGCCCCGTCTCACAACTCCGCCAACAGTAGAAGTAACCATGGAGACGGCTTCCTGGCGGGAGGTCCCGAACAGCCACCTCAACAACAGCAAGTGCAACAACAACAACAGCCTCAGTCGCCGCTGCAACAGCACCCCTCGCCAACGCAGAGCGTCCCCTCCCCCACTGATCCATACAGCAAGGTGGAGAATAACTCGCAGCATCACAGCTTGCCGCCAGGGGGAACTAGTGGGTAGCGACTGTTGTTACTGACAACGCCACCTCCGCACTTTATGTAAGTATGCAGCCTAGTCTGCCAGTAGCAAAGGCAAACGAAATGGGTTTTGATTATTTTTTATAGATTGTCACCAATTTATGCCATGTTTTGACAATGAATATGTATGAAATGGTCGCTTTTAAGCACAAGGGGGCTATCCCGAAAAATGCTGTTTTGAGAAAATCGAAGGTAAAGTTCTTTCGACCCTTGTTCAGTTTCTTTAAAAGACGGGGGGAGGTGTTTTTTTCTACAACCAAACAAATATACGGACAAATGAAACCAAACTCTTATAGGTAGGGCTATGCCTACTTTTGGTGTAGGTCAAGATTTCTGGAACCCCCGAATTCTGGGTTAGCCCGCTTGTCCTTAAAAGCGACTAATTTGTCTTTATAGCACATTAAAGGCATAATAAATCAACACCTCATTTATTGGTCTCCTAATCTGAATTTCCGTTACATCAGCAATACATGAACATAATTTGTACAATGCATGTAATTCATTAACGTCACTTTGGTTTTCTGTTGACGTTGAATGTCCTTGCAACAGCAAAAACACGCGTAGCATGCCGATAGCTCGATTTTTTCTGATGTTCTGTTAAAGCTACCATCTTTCTTGGGTGACAATGATCAAAAATTCATTTTATTGCAGTTTTAATAAACAAAGACCTAAACTTTATTTTAAAACAGAGAATAGAAAAGATCCGTCACTAGGTCGGGTAAAAATCAATTACCAATGTTCTATTTATTTGTGCTGTTGCTGTAAATACTACTTGTAACACCAAAATAATATTATTTTCATAACTTGACCTACCTTTTCGACTGCTTAGTATTAATCACATGAAAGGAAGAGTGTAAAGACTCGAAAGACAAGATTTTTTACGCAGTCAAACAGTTGAAATTTTCTTTTAATCGCCAGTAAAGTTAACGACAAGAGTCAACTACATACTTAAGGTTAATAACTCACAGCATTGACGGGGGGGGGGGGTTAAAGAAGAGGGGAGGGGGTCAAACCAAACCCACCCCTTTGTTGTTTCTGACTGTCTCACTCTTGTTTTGTTTAGTAAGGTTTTTTGGCGCTCGCAACTGCATAATGTCATATGAGCGCCAAGCGGTGGATGTCAACAGAGAAGTCCAAACAGGGAACCAGGCTTCCTCTGCTCACCTCTCTTGCTTCAACAGTACAAAATCTGCTTCGACTATAAGATACCTCGGAAATAGCAGTTCACAAACATACAAAAGAAGTAGAGGAAAAAGACGATAGTAAGGATGAGGAAAGAAAAAGCAACAGTTCCCCCTTGTTGTTCCGGCACACTACGAGTATGACATTGATAAATCAGCCCATTTACAATTCTACTGTGCATTCTCCCCAGCGTCTGTTGTGAAGCGGTCAGACACTTCACCGTCGCGCACTGAAGACACGAGTTTGATTCCCGTTAGGATATTTATCGAATATCTCGTCGAATATCTCGGTCAGTCTTTCTGCGGGGACGTTGTATCCTTCTCTCCCAGATGTGGCCCTGGCAGACAGGGTCGAAGTCCGCCGCCTCCGTCCATTTATCTAATTTGAGTCTCTGGCGTTGACCAGATGACAAGGACATGTTACTTGAGGGAGGCATTGCGCTGCCAAGAGAGAAATGCTCGCAGCTAAAGGGATTTGAAAACAACAACAACAACATCTAATTTGTGTCAATGGGTGCGTAAAACTCCTACATTAAGAAGAAGAGAAAAGAACACTCTTTGTCCGCACTAAATGCCCGTCATCGTGTTAATGTCATCATCAATGCCTTTCACCCCTGCCAGAGTATAGGCGACATACAGCAAGCTCCCCCCATTTATCTCTGTCGTGGGCTATCCTTCCAAGCTCGTTCCAAGTGAGCTTCTTCTCTCTCATGTCTCTTTCCACGCATCTCGTCCATGTTTCCCGTGGCCTACCCCTGCCTCGTGCTCCTTGTGGATTCCACTGCAGTGACTGTCTTGTGATGTTTCCCCTGGGCTTTCTTAAGGTGTGTCCCATACTCCTCTTTAATCAAACAGACAAACAAACAAAACTGCGTGGTCGGTTGGTGGATGCTGTGATGTGGTTTGCTCCTTCTTTACTATCAAACCTCTGTCGTCCTTATCTCTCCTTTTTTTGTTTATGTTATTCTCTTGTAACACATAATCTATTCTTCGGCACTTATAGTACCGTATTGTGTTGCAAGTGCAGTAAAACGATTACTTACCCTCCTGAGCGGTGCTACTGATGGAAGTGTCTTTAGGCCATTTCCAAAGAAGAGACATTAATATAATACTGTATGTTCTTATGCACAGTAAAATTGTAAACGGGCCTGATTCATCAATGTCATGCTCATAACTGTGCCTGAACTGCAACAGGGAACTGCTGCTTTTTCTTTCCCCCATTCTTACTATCGTCATTTCCTGTACTTCTTTTGTATGTTTGTCACACTCTTGTGTGACCCGCTATTTTCGGGGTGCCTTGATAGTCAAAGCAGACTGTGTGCTGTTGAGGCAAGAGAGGTAAGCAGAGTAAGCCTGAGCCTGGTTCCCTGTAAAGACTTCTCTGTTGACATCCACCCCTTGTCACTCATCATATGACCTTATGTAGTTGCGATCACCGTAAAAGCTCTACTAAAACTAAAATCTAAAACTCTTGTAAAAACTTTTGTTTAAAAACTACTTTTTTCTTGCTTCTATTTCAGATGCAACTGCGCATTGATCGTGTGCTCGGCGACCACCCCGCGCGGTGATGAGCTCGTCACGTCTGCTGTTGCTGATGACGACACTGCTACCACAGACCGAGTGGGTAACTGAGGAGAGACCTTATCTCAACTCACGTGAAAACGGGGATTTCTGCAACAAGCCGGGACGATGAAGGGAATTTGAAACTTGAGGAGACTCAAAGCGGGAGAGAGAGACTTTTACTGGAGACTGACGATAAACGCGTTCCTCGAGCTTTTTTTTTTTTTTTTTTTTTTGAGCCAGGGACTGGCCGACGAGATTTTTCGGCCTCCTTAGGTGTATTCAGATTGAATACTGGTGGAATAGCAGATTTTAGTCGTGTGTTGCAATGTTTCCTTAGCTAGGAGCTGTAAGTGTGTTGCAATGTTTCCTTAGCTAGGAGGTGTAATTGTAATTCGTTGTTGTCTTCAGATTTTTTGTTTGGTAATTATAACCAGGGTTTATGTTTTTTTAGTTAGTTTCTATGTATAAGTTTAGGTTGTTCGAGTTGTTTCTCATTTTCACAAACACCAGCACTTGCGTGATGTTTTTCTACAGCAGAAGATGCATTTTAAATAATCATTTTGTTTGTTAAGTTGCTATTTTTCCTTTTTAGGTCTATGCATTATCTCAAGGAGCACGCATGTTTGATTTGGTTCTAATTAGACTGCCAACTGTGAGCTTTATGGTAAGATAGTAAGTGACCTCTCAAAGTTAATAACTATAATTTTATCTGGGTTTACTGAGACAATGACCTGACATAGGAAGATTTATTGTCGAACAGAATCATGGCCTGACCTGACATAGGGAGACATGGTGGGGAGGGAAGCATGCCAGTTTGTCAAAGGCGCAGATTCGACAGTGCCCTGAATAATGGAAGTTATCACTGACACCCTCAAAAAGAGTAAATTAATGATTGATTGATTGTATGAATTGAATTTTATTTTTCAATTGTTTTTTAACGAAAGAACATTCATTGTTGAAATTTTACAGAGTAATTTTAATTTAATTTGATTTGCATACAAAAAGGAAATGTTGAACAACACAAGTTGAATTGACAGTTTAGAGGGACTATCTCTAGACCACCAATTAGAGGGACTGTCTCTAGACCACCAATTAGAGGGACTATCTCTAGACCACCAATTAAAGGGACTATCTCTACACCACCAATTAGAGGGACTATCTCTACACCACCAATTAGAGGGACTATCTCTACACCACCAATTAGAGGGACTATCTCTACACCACCAATTAGAGGGACTATCTCTAGACCACCAATTAGAGGGACTATCTCTACACCACCAATTTGAAGGTGGAGAATAAAAAAACTTAAGTTACAACTACAGTGTTAAAGTGCTGTAATTATGACTGTCATCTAACCTCAAACACTTAAATGAAATTGTGACAAACTGGGCCTGTGACAAACTGGGAAGCCCCCCTATGAAGCAGGACTAGCTGATGGTTTATAACTGAAGTCTAGAAGATTCTATATTTAGCTGATGGCAACTCGACCACATATATATCAAATTATTGTTGGGGGGATGAATTTCGTGTTTACATAGAAAGAAAAAGAATCGATTAGTTTCTTACAGCCATTTTGGGGGAGTCCTTTTGTTGTTGCTTTTTTTAATGAATGTTGCATTTGTCGTTGTTTTTAGGTGGATTTTGTTTGTTTCTGTTGCTGTTGTTTTGTTTGTTGGGGATGGGGGGTTGTTGATTTTTTTTTTTAACTTTTAAGGTAATGTAGCACAACACTTCTAGATGAAGCTTCGACCCTTTTTGCCCCCTGAGAGGAAACGGCGTGCGTCAAACCAACTCTGCAAAATCCCACCTACTTCCGGTTCCGCCAGAGCCAGTCAACCAATCACACGGCAGGATTCCTAAGGCTTCCATCTGGGCAATATTTGATGTACAGAATCTTTACCACATTTAATTTGTACATACTGCATTTCTATGCGCACACGTTTCTTAATCTTTTATTTTTCTTTCTACTTTTTGAAGTTCTAATCTTTTATAAGGTATTGTCAAAATTGAATGCTGTATCTACTACTATGTCTTATTATTAGAAAGCACTATATTGCTACTTGATTAACTGTGTGTAGAGTTATGCTACTACTAATTCTTGTCAACGAAGCTGTGCTTCGTTTTGTTTTTTCATTCACATTTTACTGCCAAAGGAACTAACTGTCTGTACACTGCGATCTGTACCTTGTCTCCAATGTCAAGGTAAACAGTTCCTTTCAGTTAAATTCGCATAATATAATGTCCTGTTACAAATGAGTGTATGATGATGAAGAAAATCTGTTCTTTACCTGCGTTGATGAAAGTTTCCTAGAATGAACCGAGACATTATGAGCTAATCATGTCAGAAAGTTCTCATTGATCCTTTCATCTCTTGGTCAAGAAAATGGTTCCATTACAGGCAGATTGCAGCACATGGTAGACCGTAACTATTTATGTCACTTACTGTTTTCACAGGAGTTGAGCAGTTCATATGTCACATCTGGGTATTTTTCTTTATTGTTCTCCCAAAAGATAAGTTTCAAAAGACCCAACTATCAGAGCTCGTATATGTGCCATGACACTGTGGCATAAGGCGCCTGTCAATTTTTGGGCGTATTGAGTTATTGGTATAAACTTAAATCTTGATCATTTGTGTACTGCGCTCGACTTTCAAAATACCCATCTATCTTGAATAGATGTTGAGATATGTGTAATTGAAAAAGATGAGGTTCACATAGATTCAGAGTAAAAATTAGCAAGAAAATGACTACTAAAGTTTGGTGACTTTCAAAGCTTGAGCATCCTTGAAAACTGCAAATTTACTTTTTTTTGTGCCTTTGATAAATGTTTTTCAATAAAAATCCAGTCAGTAATGTTTATAAATGGACGTAAAAGGTCTTGAGCAATTTTTTTAATTGAAAAAAACTTGCCCAAGGTTGGACAAAGGTTCGTTTCTCCAATGTCATTGTTTTGACAAGCGCCTGATTTCACCATAATGCCACACATATGGAGCTGATATTAGAACATTTTTACCCCTTTTTGTTAGGGATGAAGCAACGGTTTGTTGCAAAATGAGAACAGCAAATTATTAGTCTCTCATGTGGAAATATCTACCCAACTCTGTGTACGAAAACAAAAAGGTTTTCTTTATTTTTATTTTTATTATAAAGATTAATTTATAAGAAAAAGTAGTGTGTTAAGATAGACTTATTGGACAGACTCCCTATATACATGTATTTTAAGTCATTTTTCTCTGTAAAGAAACGTTTTTACCTTTACTTTTTCTATTCATCCACTCGTGATCTTTGACTTTATATTTCCGAAAGGAAGTAATAAGAGAAGTTGACTCTCAGAGACCAAGTCCCATTTCTATGAAGCATGTCTGAAAATGGGACTTCTGAATGATTGACGTAAAATTCCTTTCTCTGATATGTCCACTCTCTGGGTATATCAGTGAAAGAGAACAGCTTCAGAACAGCAAAGATTCTGACCTGTCATGAAGAATACAGAGCTCTGTTTAAAGAGACAGTTACATGATGCGTTTTGCCTGAGTGAAGAGCATACTGTAGCCTATAAGTAAGGAGAGAACAAATTTGTCATGTGTGCAGTTTCAGTAGACAGACAAGTATTACTCATGTGTAAAACCATTGAATGAACAAATCTGTGATTATCAAGAAACGTTTCCATGTGTGCACCTAGTCAGTTGTGCATTGGCAACTTTATTGCAAGTAGTGTTCTCTTTTGTGAGTGAATTTAAGGGACTGCGAACTGTCAGCCATAAGTACTAAAGATTAACTTCCATCCAGGTTCCTTTTAAATGAAGCTTGTTCAAGTGTATATGTGTGTTTGTGTGTGTGTGTGTTTGTGTGTGTGTGTGTGTGTGTGTGTGTGTGTGTGTGTGTGTGTGTGTGTGTGTGTGTGTGTGTGTGTGTGTGTGTGTGTGTGTGTGTGTGTGTGTGCGTATGTCTGTGTTTATGTGTATGTGTGCCTGCTCTACTCTGGCGTTGACCAGATGACAAGGACATGTGGTTATTTGAGGGAGGCATTGCGCTGCCAAGAGTGAAATGCTCGCAGCTAAAGGGATTTGAAAACAACAAACAACAACAACATGTGTATGTGTAGTGTAGTGTGTGTATGTGTGTCTGATAATGTGAGTATCTGTGCTTGAGCAAGTTCAGAAAAGGAGACCCAGCAGACCATCTGAAAATGTCTGTGAACACTCTCTCGGAGATCTAATACGCTCTAAAAGGAAACCTTAACATCCTAGAGGTACAATTCCTGCAAAATCAAGCAACATGAAATCACTTTTACATTCAAAGAATTTTACCAGAAACAAAAGGTTTCACCAAAAACAAAAGCTGCCTTGAAAAGAAATAATTCTAAGCACAATCCGCAGCAAGTTAGCCAAGTATGAATTAGAGTCCTTAGAAGACTGCAAACCATTAACATTTTTTTGATGTTTTTATGACGATAAATGTTTTTGTATAGTGCTGGGTAGCTTCATTGCATATTTTACAGTAAGGAAAGGCAGATTCTGTGCTTGCTCATTCACAGGATCCTTGCTTAATTTTTTAAATTTAAACATTTTAAGATGATGGCATAATATTCTACATTTTGTGCATTTCCAACAATTTGTAAGAGCCTCCTTGTTCCAGGAGTGTTTACAGTTCGAAACACATTCTTTTTGTGAAAATTGTTTTTGTTTATACTTCACTATTCCAATTCACTCTAGTCACTTTTCTTAACAAATCTGGCATTTAGAAGAGACAAACTGTACATTGTAGCCATTCATGAACCTGCTTTCTGGGGGTTGTTTTTGAATATCATAACACTATCAAATGCACGTGTAATATGATGAAAGATTTTTTTCCGACTGATATTTTTTATTGCTGAAAGAATGTTTGAATCCTGGTCCATATATAAAGATGTGAAAATTGTTCTATCCTCATTGTTTTAAACCAGAATGAGTTTATCCCTTTCTTTCCCCACCTACTCAAGTTGAATTGTCTCTCCCACCATATACCTCTGTTGTTGTTAATCTGTTCATGTTTTGTATAAGAGTGTGAGTGCTATTCAGTACACTCTATTGAAGTGTCTTGCAGCTGATTCAAATTACTTTTCAGACCTTTTTTTTAAAAATGATACATGAAAAAGACCAGAGTCTGTTGAGTACCCTATTAGGAACTTCTCTGAAGCACACAAGAAAATTGAGTTCAATTCCCAAGTTGAAATGTTATTTTATTCAGTGTCTCTTCAGTCTGCTGAAGTGTTATATCCCACTTAGCCTGAGTTGGTACTGAAAGGCTGGATAATAGTCGGATGCCTCTTGAATAATGTAAATTGGTTCTATGTGAGTGTAAACACGATTGCAATCAATTATAAATTAGAAGAGATACAGATTTCCCATCCACTGAAAAAAAAATCAATTTGGCTCATGAGTTTTTTACAAGTGGAATTTAAAGTGGAGTCAAAATGAATTTGAAGGTCTTAAAGTAGAATTTTTCTAAGGATGGTTTTAAATTGGTCGCTTTTAATCACAAGGGGGCTATTCTGAAAAATGCTGTTTTGAGAAAATCAAAGGTAAAGTTTTTGCTCCCTTGTTGGGTTTCTTTAAAAGACAAGCAGAGTTTTCCCTTTAGCCAAACAAATATAATACACACCAATGAAACCAACCTTCTCCTATATGTAGGGCAATGCCCACTTTTGGTGTAGCTCAAGATTTCTGGAAACCCCCGAAATCTGGGTTAGCCCACTTGTCTTTAAAAGCGACCAATTTCAAAATGTTCTCTCACTATACTGAATGGTAGTTTGATGTTCTTAAGCACAGTACATGTAAAGTGTGCTGAATGGACACTCTGTGTTGGATAATCAAAACCACCCCTTGCCCACGCTGGTGATTGCAAAAATGAAACGTCCTCTTTATTTTATCCCCTCTGGGAAACTCTGAACGGGTGTTGATTTAAATTCCAGATTTGGCAGAAAGAAAAAAATGGTTTCATGAGGAAAAGCAATGACGGAAATGGAAGTGTAATCTTAAACAGTATTCATCTCCGTCCAAAAAAAAAAATTTTTAAATACCATAATATGATGGCTGTAGAGCAGGGATATGAGATATCTCACAGATATCTGAAGGGATGACAAGGTCACTTTGCTGTATCTTGAAATAGATTTTTTTAAACACCCTGAAGTTTGATCC